TTTCTTATATAATCAAGTGTGCGCTCTATGTATTTCAGTGTTTTGAAGGTCCTGTTTATCCCGAGCTCGAGAGCTATGGAGACGAGCCCGGCTAGGTTGGTGTTGGTGCTGTTTCGGTTTGAGCCGAGCAATTTCATGCAAGAGGCGTGGTGCTTGGTTTGGTTGCATGCATGCTTTACGAGCTTCGACGGCTTGGGGCCGGAGTTGTTGGGGGTGGCGTGGAGGGCGAACGCTGCGGTTATAGAGAGAAAGAGGAGAGAGAGAGCCAAGGCTGGCGTGGAAGACATTGTTGCTCTCTTGTTCAAGGGATTTTTGCTTGTTTCCTTTACTGATCTCTCTTTTTTCTTTCTGTGGTGCATAGGATCATACATTTATATCTATTTATCTGCTCTCCGTGATGTGAACTGGTTTATAGATTTCGGTTTCTTCATTTAAGGTAGTGTCTTTCGCCTAATTGACCAGTCGTGCATGGCCCTCTTTTAAAAGAAAACTGCTTATCGCTCCATTATATTACCCGATACAAATTTTGGCAACTTGATGTCTGTAGAGGCTGTAATATATTGGTGTGATGGCCTGTGTTTTGTGGGATCGTATACAATGAGAGTCACCATTACTTTTAACTCAAATGTAATAGCTTAGGTTTGTCATAAAATTCAAAAAAATTTGTTTTCAAACTTTGAGCTTGATCAATAGAATAAATGCAACCACTCACTTCCACATCTAATAGTCAACATTAATTATAATCATCTTATACCAAAATAAATGGTCACATATTGTGTGCATTTATTCCAATGCTGCCAATTTCCACTTTGGTTACCTCGTCTGATTTAGGGGAGAATTTGGATTTATTAGAAAAAAATAGGGAAAAATTATAAATACCCTCAAATTCAACTTTTTAAACGTCCTATCTCCCCAAACTTTTTATATCCCATCCTATATCCCCATAGTATTTTTCTTCATATTTATTCCAAATCAAAAATAAAAATACCATTACTTTCTTTCTTCTCCCCCTTTAAAGTCACCCGACACATTCTCTCTATCCACACTCTCTCTTCTAAAGTAAAAACCCATATCTTCTATTTTTTTCTCAAAAACTCATATCTTTTATTTTTCTCTCTCTAAAAACCCATATCCTTTATCTCCTCATTATCTAGTAATGTGGTCCGACACATAGGGTGCCGGACCAAAACTTTTTTGCAGTCCGACACAAAAATGTGCCAGACTGTAAAATTTTTTTTGGTCTGGCACTTAACTTAAATCTACGTAGTCCGACACATTGGGTGCTAGACCGCATTATAAGCCATGTTACTGAAACTCAATGCAATCCGGCACACAACTGCATTACCGTGAATGAGAGAGAGAGATAGAGAGAGAGAAAAAGACAAAAGAAAGTAAGGGCATTATTGTCCTAAACCCATTTACTTTGTTATTTGCGGGGGTAAATATAATGAAAAATAGTATTGAGGTTTAGTGTGAGATAAAAAAGGTTTTAAGAAGTACGATGTCTAGAAAGTTAAATTTGAGGGTATTTATAATTCTCCTTCTTCCTTTTTTCCATAAAAAATTTAAAGTCTCCCCTTAAAAAACAATAACTACGCATGTCTCTTTTAATTTATGTTAAATTCTACCTAAATATTTTTTGCTATTGCATTCTTATCCTCTTTGTTCTCAATTTTTTAAAATGACCAAACTACCTATAATTCTTGGATCTTTCATTTGTTTAAAGTTAGTCATTTTTTTTTGTGTTTTTTTTTTTTCCCAAGCACTTTTGGATTTTCAAAATCCAATTGTTTCACTTTCATATTTTGAAAATGCAAAAATATTCAGGAAACGTTTTTTCGAGGAGAATTTTTGGATTTTTCAAATTTTGAAAATGCTCTTAACTTGCTTCTATAGAAAAATTGTAAACCAATGGGGAAAATAATTTTTCGAGTTTTGAAATTCCTAATATGGAGCAAATTTAGACTAAAAAAAAAAAGAAGAAGAAGAAGAAAAAAACAAGAATGTAAATTTTGAACTTTAGAGGGACTTTTATAATAATAGAAATTATAGAGGGCATGCATGTAATTTACTCTAATTTTTTCTAAGGAAGATGTTTGTGCAGCTGCACAAATGCCGCAGGGCTCAAAAACATTTCCCTGTTTTTTTAAAGAAAAAAGTTTATATAAGATTGATACATTAAAATGTAGAATTAAGATGCACCTCTAAAATTCTTTGAAAACGGTTGTTTTGATATTGGAAAAATATCTAATTGATCATCTTGACATCGAGATATATAGATATGGAGAAAAAAAAAGATTTCAAGTCTTAAAAATAGTACATTTTGCAATACATTTTTTGAACCATCAATTTTCAAGATTTTCATGCTTTTGTTGATCTATTTGATTTTAGCCTTTTTTTTTAGTTTTAAATGTCTTAATTAAGTATAAAAATAGATTTTCGCACCATCCTAAGAGATTTTTTGACCCCAAAATTGCATCTCATGACAATATTTGGAGGAGCTGATTGTTTAAGGCTGCAACCTTATGCAAACCACGCCCTTTCTTAAATGGAGTAACATCCATAACTTTCCAAATTCACCCACTCAGTCAATATCCTAAAAAATAATGGATTTGAATTTTAATTGCTCAATTTGAATTTGTGATGCAAACCTCGAATCTTAAAATTTTAAGAGTGCTAATTTTTTCTTTTTCCAATTTTGTTTTTAAAGTTTTTGTGTAGAATGACTTTTGGCCAATTTAGTTTATTATAGAGTTTTAGAACTAGGCAATGCGCATTGGGAATCGCCAATTCAGACCAGAAATCGACTGGGACCAACGATCTGACATGAATAAATGGAGTCAATAATCCACCCTATCGATCCGGGTTTTAAAATATTGGTTTATAAAGAATGTAGTGCTAGATGAATGTTAGGCTTTCACAAAATTATAAATAGGCTAATAATAAGATCTGATCAACCTAGCAAACACACTTAATCAACCGAGGCGCAAGAATGGACTCATCTCTTGTTGGTGCGTTTGGCCATGGGCCTCACATCACTTTCCTATTTTCATGGGAGGAATCCCATGATAATATCTTTTTTTTTTGTTCTTATGCTTTTGTTAAACGATTTTGTTAAATTTAATATGTATATAACTAATTATTTTCTATTTTTTAAAAGCTTTTGTTTCTTAGACCGTCAGTAAGATGAAGATAAGCATCCCTGAGATCCAAGAGATTGTTTCTCAAAGGCCCATTGGGAAATGAATTGTTGGGGCCCCTCTTCTTTCCTATAAATACAAGAGTTTAGGCAGTAGGAAACGCATGGTGAAAAATGTTAGAGAGCTCCGGTGTTTTTAGAAAGCTGCTTCTATATCTCGCTAAAGAAAGGGATTCCTTAATCAAAATCCGGATTCTCTAATCAACAACCTCCCCACTCTTAGATCTAGACTTGGCGCTCATCCTTGCACTCAGATTTTGCTTTTATCTTTTGGATAACATGTATCACATCTAAAGTTAAGCTAAGCTGGACACATCCAATTCTAGGTCCAAATGGGTCGAGCAAAGCTCATCCTGTCCTAGTCCAGTTTCAAGTCAACTGAACCCGTCCTAGGTCCAGATCTGGGTTTGGACATTGTTGGGTCAAGTTGGGTCATTTGACCTGACCCCTAAAAAGAAGAATGACCATCGTGCTCAACAGGCCACCCGTTTGGTTTTGGGTACACCACGGGTCTCACAAATAAACTCTGGGCCTAATAAATCTATGTTGCATGCGTGAAGCCAAATCACACATGTAGGCTTTTATATGTTCTTATTGTCTTTTTTTTTCATTATTCATAGGCCATTGGATTGATTTTTAATCCAATGGTTGTGGTGCCTTGTAAGCACCCCTAGTATAAGGGGTTTGAACCTCATTGTTTAAAGGGAAAAAGAGTGAGAAAAAGGAGCAAAAAGATATAGAACATTCTTTTCATATTTATGGAACAAACTATCAATTGCAGTGGGAGTAGTCCTCTTTTCAGAAAAAGGATATGTTGTGGTGCCCATGTAGTGGGAGTTGTTTCTGGATTTATGTCTAATCAACTGAGAATAGTAAGATGTATAAAAGACTTTCGAGGGTGGAAGATACGTAACCTCGAGAGGATGCGGAGTAATGTATTGGTAGTTGTTTCAAACGCTTGGTGATTCTTCAAGCGGGTGATTGTTGCATGTGTGAAGCCAAATCACACATGTGACTTCATTTTTATATTTTTGTTAATGAATTTTCTTCATTTTTCTATGGCATTGGATTAGTTTTTAATCCAAAAATTTGTGTCTTGTAAGCATCTAAGTATAAGGGGCTTGAACCTCATTGTTTAGAGTGAAAAAGAGTGAGAAAAAGGAAGAAAATGAGAGAGCTCATGGTGGGTTTTGTTGTAACCTGTTTTGCCTCATTTTATAGAGAGAGAGAGTGGAAATTTTGAGTCATCCCCTTGGGTTTTTGAGACCCTGTTATAGGCCCAATTCTGGAGAGAAAGTGCACATTTGTAGTGTGTGTGGAACCCTATTTTGAGCCATATTTCTAGAGACGTAAAACTGTTGTAAATTGAAGCTTTGGATCTCATTTCCTCTCGTAAGTTCCATTGAGAGAAAGTGCACATTTGTAGTGTGTGTGGAGCCCTATTTTGAGTTATATTTCTAGATAGATAAAACTATTGTAAATTGAAGTTTTGGATCTTATTTCCTCTCGTAATTTTCATTGAATTAATAAGTAAAACCTCACACCACTCTCCTATAGACATAAGTCACGATTTATGACTGAACCATGTTAAATCTTTGTGTTGTGTGAATTGTATGTTGTTGTATTTTCATTCTATGTATTCATTTTGATGCCATAATGCGTATTTTCATTTTGATGCCATAATGCTTAATCGATTATCTATAATATTTATGATGCACAATAGCCGTTAGTTTGATAATCCCCTATTTCATCACCCATGCTTGTATTTTACTCATTAGAATTTGCTTTGATATAGAGGGAGTATCATAAATTAGCCCTTTTACCCAATAAAAACGAAATTGGATTCCAAAATATGAGATCCCACTTCCTCATACATGACGACATAACTCCATTTCCACTCTATTTCAAAAGCTTAAGAATCGCTAGTGCTATGCTCCCAAGCTTAGAAAGCTGACTGTTATTCTTCGAAAGAGGGGAAGGCAGGGCCTCCTCTTGTTCAGCGAATCCCTCCTCGCACGTGTCCGAGGCGGCCATCGACGCGCTGACCCACATGTTGGCATCCGCATAGTCCTTCAACTCGATGGAGCGCTTCGAGTCCTCGAGTTGATCAATCGCGTCGACGTATAGCTCTGAGCAATCGCCCAAGGCTTGGAGTAAGCTAGGGTTTTCGGTCTTATTTTGAAGCTCTTGAATGTAGGAGTAAGTGGACTTGGCTTTCGCTATCGCCTGGTCTAGGGCTATGACACCGAGTCCAGCGAGGTCGGCCTTGGCTCTTGCTGGGTTCGAGTCCAATTGGCGAACGCAGAAGTCGTAGTACTTGGTTTGCTTGCAGACTTTCTCGACGAGGTTGGATGAGTGAGAAAGCGGCTCGGTTTGTTCCGCGAAAGCGAGGGTTAGAGAGAGAAAGAGGAGGATGAGGGCCTTCACAGAGGGTGGTGGTGACATTTTTTCCAAGCTTGGGTTTGGTCTTTCTCTCTCTAGTTTACAGTTCTTGATTCTTTCGTTTTTTTTCTAGTGTTTTGTGGGATGGAACTTTTATATGAGGTGAGGGGCATGGTGCAGTTACGTGCCTTGCCGAATTTAGATTGCTCAAGAATTTGAAATGGACGGTTGTGATTGTACGAACGGGATGGGAAGGTTGAGTAAACTGATGGCGTAACGTGTTTGTTAACGAGGCGCATCTAATGCGGACGTCCATCCACCAGGTAACGTCCCGTTCCGTTTTTCCGCTACTCGTTTGCGTGTTGCCTTTTCCATTTCCTGGTGAGGACACCCCTTTCTTTGAGGGAAATGACCCATTGCCAAAATAGCTTCTTCTTGATTCTTGAGTGGGTCGTTGTACCTTTAGGATTGTTGGGCGTGGAGACCGTTTTATAATTATTCTTAGTTATTAGATTTAAAATTGGATGGCATGGGATGGATCACAAAGTTCAAGAATTTCTTTTTAGAACTTTGAATCTAATTGAATGACACACTTATAACCACTCAATTTAAAATTTGATGGTCAAGAATAATTGTGATCTCATTGCAATAAAAGTAAAAGAAATTTGTTTCATGCCGGCTAGACTGCATTTCTACATATACCGTCCAAAAAGTGTAAAGCTTCCATCTTGAAGATAGATGCAAGTAGGTGTTCTATCTTAAAACAATGGAAACTAACGGTCCAAGTGTTTTTTCACTAGAATTATTATTTTTAGTTTTTAAAATTTATTTATTTATTCATATTCATGATCTCTATATTATAGATTACACGTCTTTAAAAATTAAGTCTTAAAATCTATCTCAAAAATAGATTTATTAATACGCCCACATTTCTACACATGCGGGCTTGGCCGCTTAGAAACCGGATCCAAAAATAAATAATATCTTTGTATACTCTTCCTATACCTCAACACGTTTGTTTGATGTCATTTTTTTTTGAAAAATTATAAAAACCCCCTTGACCTAACTTTCTTTACAACCTACTTTTATCGCAACATTTACCCAAAACAAACTTTTCTAGTTGTAGTCTTTAGGACATAAATGCCTTCTCTCTCTCTTCTAACACCGACTACTTAATTTTTCCCATAAAACACAAAAAGGTGGTCCAACAGTTTACACAAGTGATCCAACAATATCTCAAAGCGGTTCGGCAATAAGCCCAAACGGTCCTGTAATCGGCGCATGTAGTCCTGTAATCGGCCCATGCGGTCAAGCAACACGTCCAAATTGCGGTCTAGCAATATCAAAGAGTGGTTTGGTACCTTTTTTTAGTTTAATAGGGTCTAGCAATTGGTACATGGCGGTTCGGCAGCCCATATAGCTTTTGGTACTGGGCGTAAGCCCAAGTGAATGTCCAGCCAAAATTAATTTTTTATGTACAAAAAATGGTATTTTCATGGAGAAAATGTGCCCTGTTTTTTAGTATATTTTGGGGTAAAAAGTAGGAAAAAAAAGTTTGGTTGGAGTAAGTTGCATAGGAAGTCTATTCTTCGGAGTTATTTATATATATATATATTTTTTTACCAAAAATATCTAATTTTATTGATAACTAGATTACATAAAAGGAATGGGTGCAGTTGGCATACGGATGCATCCGTAGCCGTA